TACAGTGGCAGTGAAACTTAGTAGAAGTTAGGATGATAAATATAAGAGTAAGCTCAAGAGTAACTGAATCCTGGACCATCTATCCCTCGATGATGATGATGATCATGAATTGGAGATTTTATGTCCGCTTTCCGACATTAATGCGATTTTCACACACGGGAAATCGATGATAATCATGAATTGCAGATTTTAAGTGTGCTCTCCGACATACACACTCGGGACTTTAGGACGACGACGATGATGATGATGATGATGATGATGATGAATTGGAGATTTTAAGTGCGCTTTCTGACATTAATGTAAATTTCACACACCGTCAACGACTTCGATCATCGATCGTATATACAGGCATCTTTAACAGGTCAGAGCACAGTTTGGATGGCTTTCATATTACAAAGCTTGCATAGTGTTCATTGGTACTGTCATTTCTAACACAAGTAAATTATACTAATTGCACTTTTCGTCCTGTTTGTATGAGTACAATTACGACTCAGTAGAAATAGCCAGGGCATCGAGATAATCTGTTATGAATAAATGGACAATATTGATTAATATCTTTCACATTTATCCATGACTGATGTCCCCATGCTGCCAATGGTGCTAATAGATAAACGAATGACGTCATTAGACTTCATTAACCCATTCCACCTTGAGAAGGTACAGATGTGCAGTTCTTACATCTCATAGGGACAGCTTATTGGTTTGATTATACCAGGTACACAATTAATTGTCGCCTCGGCGCATTATTACTCTAAACTATATGCTTGTTTTTAATCATTTGTATAAAATCCATCGATAACGTACTGTACGAATCACGATGATGATTGGAAGGGTCCCTTGCATGAATTGTTTTTATTTGTTCATTTGTGTTTTACACCCTTGCTGAGTTGAAGTCATGTTGCAGTAACGTTCTGAAATTTAACGCAAGCTTGTGGTGTACAACCCTTATATGGAAACCTCTCAAGGGACATAACTCTCATCAGAACCCTGACTGTAAACAAACGCTATAAGGTTGAAGCAACTCCGGTACGTTATTCGGTGAAGTAATTTAATATATGTAAAATCAATGTACTTTTTTAATAGTGCGATTTGGTAGTAAATATGTGTTGACTGGATTATTTTGCATTGATGCAAAATGATGCATGAGCGATACTGCTTTGTATTTATAGAATTATACCATCAGTTCCACACTACCACACCAATGGTGAGGTGAGATGAAATTGGGTTTAACGTCGTGCTTGAGAATATTTCGCTCATATGACGACGTGCATACGTGTGTATGTGTATGTGCGGCTGCTTGTACTAGCCCAGACTTAAGCTGGTTTTATAGTGCTAGCCCACTGAGATACCATGCCGCAGTGAAGCATGAATACCCCACTCAGACACATTATACTGACTACGAGCCGACCAGTCCTTGTTGTACCCATTAATAGTGAGCGCCAGGCAGGGACCAACAAGTACCATATTTTAACGTCTTTTGGTATGACGCGGTTGGGGATCGAACCCGCGACCTTCCACTCTCCGGGCGCACGCTCTAACCACTACACCACGGAGGCGGTCAACACACCAATGGAATAGTCACGATGTGTTTCGTGGTCTTTAACACAGCTTCTAGAAGATATAGGTCAATAATTTGATCATGGTGCCAAAGTGACACTCTGCCATGATACAAATATTAGTATGCATGCATGTATATATCTCCACCAGCCACAGTGTCACGATCTTGCTTGTATGTTTGTTTATTTATTGATTAACCTGCTCACTGCAATATTCCAGCTATATGACGGTAGTCTGTAAATTATGGAGTCTGGACCAGAAAATCCACTGATTGACATCATCAGCATCAATCTACACAACTGGGATACGATGACATGTGTCAACAAAGTCACAGAACCTGACCACCCGTTTGTCTCTTACGACAACCATGGGCTGCTGTGGACCAATTCTAACCAAGGTTTTCTGCATGTAGCTTATGCATTAAATATACTCCATTATAAGTGTCTTCATTTTCAAATGAAAACCAAAACCAAATAATTTTTATCTTTCCACCTTATTGCTGATTCTTTTTTTTAAATTCAGGAACATATGTGTAATTAGATGGATATGAATGCTGGAGTGAGTGTAATGGCTATCCCCAACCCTTTAATCATTAACTGTTTAATTTGATTGATTCGGATCCTTTTATCTATTTAATCTTTTGTCAATGGCTTTGATGTACGCGAAAGGGTATTAAAATGTGTATTTCACTACGACAGTGTAATTCTAAATGTAACATAAGTCACATTTGACCACATTCTAAAGGGGCATTATGTATTATTAATCCCAAGCTTTCATACGATTACCATCAAACCATGGATTACGAAAGGACAGAGGACTTACGAATTGATTCACCATCAATTTGTCTTGAAAAACGACTGGATTCGGTCAATAATACTCTCAATACTGTCAGGTTCAATTGTTCCAGCATAATGATTGAAATGAATGACGATCAGCTGGGTGAAGGTGCACCAGCAATGGGATTAATGGGTTTACGCACTTCCACCGAGGTCGTAGAGAACTAACACTTACATTTTAATCTCCAAGAATCACAGCTAATGCAGAATCATGCGTCAGTTGATCAGTAACAGAACGTACGTAAGTGTCTAAGTCATCAGGCTGATGTACATAAACAGTCGTTATCGGATGTACATTCATCGACTGTGTTTCCCGGTCGGTTAGTGCTTGAACTTCCCCGCAAACAATTATGCCAGTTTAGATCACCCATGAAGACACAAATGTTTGCTAACCTATCCACTAGACATATCCACTAGACAACGGACCTAGATTACTGAACCTCTGTTAGAGCTAAGATAGTCGTAAGTTAATGTTAATGTATGGCACTTACGACCATCTTAAAAGAAGGAGAGCTTCGAAAATCTAGGTCCTGAATGAGGTAGATATCAGTAAAATAAGTAAAGCGTGAAGGCGAAGTAAGGCCAGTTTAAGGCCCAGGCTTGAAGATGTCTGTTTTTACTATCGCCCCAAATAGAAGGAACTGTAGTAGCTTTATCAACCGCAGTGTGTTTGCTGTCTAACGCTGCACTCAGCAATATTCCAGCTGTATGGCGGCGGTCTGTACATAATCAAGTCTGGACCAGACAATCCAGGGATGAACAGCATGATCATCGATCTACGCAATTGTGATACGATGACATGTGTCAACCAAGTAAGTGAGCCTGACCATCTGATCCCGTTAGTCGCCTCTTACGATGAACATGGGTTGTTGAAGACCAATTGTAACCCGGATCTCCGTGATTGGTATCAACGTAGTGATGAGTTGTACTGCTTTCAATCAAATGTATGTTTGTAGAAGGTATGGTTTTGGTAAACAAATTGCTTTATGTATGTTATGTTGTAGGGAAACAGTATCCACACGTGGTAATGAGAGTGACTTCCCCTTCAACGTCCGAACATCATTTTCCCGTCTTGTGTTGTTTGTTGACTAAACGGCTGAGCGGGTTAGGCATCTGATTTTGTGTGCTGGCGATTAGGTGCCTGACTCAGAGGGTGGGTTCGAATCCTGGATGGGACTCAACCCAACAAAAGTCCTAGAATCTGTATGAATACACAATGACATTTAGAAAGTGGTCAAAGTTAAGATGTGTTATATTTGGGATTACACTTTCTCAGTAAAGTACAGATTCTAGTACTTTTGTTGGGTTGAGCCATCAGTGTAATACATGACTGGAGTAGACAAGTAAACAAGACATAACCAGAAACAGTGAAGGATTCGAAGTAAACTGACATTCAGTTGAAAGTTCTCACCGAGTGCTTTGTTTTCCATGATGTATTGGTAACGCATACACGCTCTTGTAAGTCATAAGTCTGGCAAGATATATTTTTCAAATTGTACTCATGATATAATACTCACTGACTGTATGTAAGATACATATTTCTCGAAACAATATCTACAGGGTGTTTTCGAAGGCAGAACGTGTTTGTACCCATTAGTGTTTGAAGCGCCTAAAATAAAGTAGTGGTTCAACGAACTCCTGGCGTCATCACTTATTTTCAGTTGTCAGTTCATATGATTTTCACAGTTATTTTGCCTATTACACCAAATGAAATATGTTTCTGAGGTTCGTCAAATCTGGGTTTTCTTTGGAACCAATGTTATTATATAAACCTGCATCAACTGATACGTACAGTAAAACGTCGTAATTTTACCAAGCTGTGAAACGGAATGGATCTAAAACACAAATCGCCAGTAATCAGTATTTCAAGCCAATGAGTTAGAGGAGAGATGGAAACCTGACCTCCACAAAGCAAATGTAACTTCTTTTCCAAAAGGTCGGGTCTGACGGCTTTTTATTCATTTGGTGGTACTATTGTCAAGTGGCAATCGATTAGACAGGTAGATAACCCATTCCTTGATATCCTCACAATGGTGACGCTCATTAAAATAAATGTGGAAAATATTGATGTGACCGTGAAGGTATTGAGCTATTGCATTTGTCACTTACGTACAACAAAGGTACTTTTATCGTTCTAATGTAGTTACTGAAACACTAGCAGCTATTTGACGATGTATGTACTTGACACCTGCGTCAGGTAATTATTGTCTGGACTGTAGTTGACGCTTAGTCACATTAATACATACCCTGAAACAAAGCGGTACACGGCCACAGTAATGGGTCGTGTGTTGTTTAACTACACAAACAGAGCAGTGTATTCTTTCATAAGGAATGGAACGGCATTAGAAAGTATCGATCAAGTAAATGTAAACTGTTTCGTCAATACTTTGCCAACAATTTGTGACTGATTGATCTATATGAAGTTTGCATCTGGACTAGGAAGGTGCGATGATATAAAGCAGACAGGACTTGATATTCATCTAGGTACATATTTTCATTATGTACAAACATCCTTACATACTTTTTCTCATTTGGACCAGTATTGATACTGTATGTACCAATGCTGAAGTATTTGATAGATACTATGGCTATCATATTCTAAGCGGGATGTTGGAGTCTATTCCCTGTCAGCCATCTGACAACTACTGCACAGTGGCAAAATGTAGTGGTCACTGTCGCTGCAATGCTGCTTGTGTTGTCATCAACTTCAACACCGTCACCAGCGTGTGCCAACTCCATGACGCCAGCGTTCTGAACAACAACGCCACCGTGGAGGGGAACGTGACCGAATGGGTTATCCTGGAACCGCAGAACGGTAGGTGTTTGTGAATACAATAAGGTCCTAACCATTTTAAACTTTCATTGGCCTTGGATGTGTTTGTGACAGGTGCCGTTATTAGGGAAGAATACGCTCACCTGTTTGTGAACACCTTATATTATCATGATTTGTAAACACGTGTACAGATTAGGAATCGTGGAAGAGATTTCGTATGATTACGGAATATTATTTGGCCTTTGGGGCTGTCTGTATGTGTTTGACAGAGTTGGTTTAGGACCGTCCTGGTATGTTTTGAATTGAAGACTGGAAATAGGTAATTTTGCAAATAACCTTTATACCCCTAAAATGATGACTTAGAATTCTCGGAGAACTTAGAGAAAGATGTACGAGAATTGAAATCCCAGAAAGAAAGTTTACTTATCGCTACTAAAATAGATACACTTCCACTGTTATTAAGCCATAAATGCAAGACAAACAGATGGCACAGTTACTGTTGATATTTTATGTATTTTTCATTTGGTGAAAGTCTGAAGACGATACGAGTTTCTGCTTCCTTCAGAGCGTTTGTAGTTTGTCAAAGGCGACGTTTCTTGTCAGAAAGAGATATGTAGATGGTTGATATACTTTGATAAGGTCGGATGATGTAAAGGCCGCCTAACTATGAAGGTAGTGGTAATGTAACGTAAAGTTAGGATCTTGTTCTGTCGTTGAGTTTCAACTTGGGAGCCAAGACTGTGCCATAACACTATAGCATACTAAGATTACACTCTAGCAAGACTGTGCTATAACACTATATCATACTAAGATTATACTTGACATTCTTACTTACTATAGTGTGTATGACATAATTCCATTGTACTGTGGTTGGTGTAATTATACTGTGGGATGTAGAACAATGTTTTAATTGATAATGTATAGGGTAGTTTCACTGAAGGAGTTGTTTTATGGCAGGATGTATAACATAGCTGTACAGTAGGATGTAGGATATATTCTTACTACTGGACAGATGACGTAGATTTCAAAGGGTTTGAAGTAGTGTAAAATATTTGTCCACAGGAGAGGGTACGTAAGACCATATCATTCAAAGTATGCGGTATCAATGCCAGGGATTTAATTGCAGAATTCTTGTTAGGTTTTTAAAATGTGTGAATGTCTCTGACTTACACACTCACATCGATGTAAACATGCCTATATTCTGTAATGTAGCAGGTGCCCCCAAGTTTGGCGAGTGGACGCTCGTATTCCGAGCAACTGCTGGCATCAACCAATCAGCTTTTGAGGAATACACAAACTCCACTCGTCGCGACGACCAGTACACCATCGTCAACAACGTCCCCAAGGGCTGCTTGTCCCTCAACGGTTCAATACCGTGTGACCGTCACTACAGAACCAGACATCTGGAGACGTGGGATCACTGGGGCGTTTCCCAGGTAAGATATGTGTGTGTGTTGCATGATCGTCAATTCACAGATGATATATTCAAGTGCTGAATGCATGATGGTTGTACCACAGGTGATATATTCAAGTATGGATTGCATGATCGTTGTTTGACAGGTGATATATTCAAGTGCGGATTGCATGATCGTTGTACCACAGGTGATACATTCAAGTGTGGATTGCATGCTCGTATCTTCACAGGTGATATATCCAAGTGTGGATTGGATGATCGTAGTTACACAGGTCATATATTCAAGTGCGGATTGCATAATCGTTGCACCACAGGTGATATATCCAAGTGTGGATTGCATAATCGTTGTGCCACAGGTGATATATTCAAGTGTGGATTGCATGATCGTAGTTTCACAGGTTATGTATTCAAGTGTGGATTGCATACTCGTAGTTTCACAGGTAATATATTCAAGTCCGGATTGCATAATCGTTCTACAGGTGATATATTCAAGTGTGGAATGCATAATCGTTGTACAACAGGTCATATATTCAAGTGTGGATTGCATGATCGTTGTACCACAGGTGATATATCCAAGTGTGGATTGCATGCTCGTTGTTTGACAGGTGATATATTCAAGTGTAGATTGCATGATCGTAGTTTCACAGGTGATATATTCATATCTGGATTGCATCGTCGTAGTTTCACAGGTGATATATTCAAGTGTGGATTGCCTGATCGTTGTTTGACAGGTGATATATCCAAGTGTGGATTGCATGCTCGTAGTTTCACAGGTGACATATTCAAGTGCGGATTGCATAATCGTTGTACCACAGGTGATATATTCAAGTGTGCATTGCATAATCGTTGGACGACAGGTGATATATTCAAGTGTGGATTGCATGCTCGTAGTTTCACAGGTGATATATTCAAGTGTGGATTGCATGCTCGTAGTTTCACAGGTGATATATTCAAGTGCGGATTGCATGATCGTTGTACCACAGGTGATATATTCAAGTGTGGATTGCATGATCGTTGTTTCACAGGTGATATATTCAAGTGTCGATTGCATGCTCGTATCTTCACAGGTGATATATTCAAGTGTGGATTGCATGATCGTAGTTTCACAGGTGATATATTCAAGTGTGGATTGCATGATCGTTGTACCACAGGTGATATATTCAAGTGTGGATTGCATGATCGTTGTACCACAGGTGATATATTCAAGTGTGGATTGCATGATCGTAGTTTCACAGGTGATATATTCATATCTGGATTGCATGATCGTAGTTTCACAGATGATATATTCAAGTGTGGATTGCATGATCGTTGTTTGACAGGTGATATATTCAAGTGTGGATTGCATGATCGTAGTTTCACAGGTGATATATTCAAGTGTGGATTGCATGATCGTTGTACCACAGGTGATATATTCAAGTGTGGATTGCATGATCGTAGTTTCACAGGTGATATATTCAAGTGTGGATTGCATGATCGTAGTTTCACAGGTGATATATTCAAGTGTGGATTGCATGATCGTTGTTTCCACAGGTGATATATTCAAGTGTGGATTGCATGATCGTATGTTTCACAGGTGATATATTCAAGTGTGGATTGCATGATCGTAGTTTCACAGGTGATATATTCAAGTGTGGATTGCATGATCGTTGTACCACAGGTGATATATTCAAGTGTGGATTGCATGATCGTTGTTTCACAGGTGATATATTCAAGTGTGGATTGCATGATCGTAGTTTCACAGGTGATATATTCAAGTGTGGATTGCATGCTCGTAGTTTCACAGGTGATATATTCAAGTGTGGATTGCATGATCGTAGTTTCACAGGTGATATATTCAAGTGTGGATTGCATGATCGTAGTTTCACAGGTGATATATTCAAGTGTGGATTGCATGATCGTAGTTTCACAGGTGATATATTCAAGTGTGGATTGTCATGCTCGTAGTTTCATAGGTGATATATTCAAGTGTGGATTGCATGATCGTAGTTTCACAGGTGATATATTCAAGTGTGGATTGCATGATCGTAGTTTCACAGGTGATATATTCAAGTGTGGATTGCATGATCGTAGTTTCACAGGTGATATATTCAAGTGTGGATTGCATGATCGTAGTTTCACAGGTGATATATTCAAGTGTGGATTGCATGATCGTAGTTTCACAGGTGATATATTCAAGTGTGGATTGCATGATCGTAGTTTCACAGGTGATATATTCAAGTGTGGATTGCATGATCGTAGTTCCACAGGTGATATATTCAAGTGTGGATTGCATGATCGTAGTTTCACAGGTGATATATTCAAGTGTGGATTGCATGATCGTAGTTTCACAGGTGATATATTCAAGTGTGGATTGCATGATCGTAGTTTCACAGGTGATATATTCAAGTGTGGATTGCATGATCGTAGTTTCACAGGTGATATATTCAAGTGTGGATTGCATGATCGTAGTTTCACAGGTGATATATTCAAGTGTGGATTGCATGATCGTAGTTTCACAGGTGATATATTCAAGTGTGGATTGCATGATCGTTGTTTCACAGGTGATATATTCAAGTGTGGATTGCATGATCGTAGTTTCACAGGTGATATATTCAAGTGTGGATTGCATGATCGTAGTTTCACAGGTGATATATTCAAGTGTGGATTGCATGATCGTAGTTTCACAGGTGATATATTCAAGTGTGGATTGCATGATCGTAGTTTCATAGGTGATCGTCGTGGTGATATTTCATGATCGATTGTATGTTCACAGGTGATATATTCAAGTGTGGATTGCATGATCGTAGTTTCACAGGTGATATATTCAAGTGTGGATTGCATGATCGTAGTTTCACAGGTGATATATTCAAGTGTGGATTGCATGATCGTTGTACCACAGGTGATATATTCAAGTGTGGATTGCATGATCGTAGCTTCACAGGTGATATATTCAAGTGTGGATTGCATGATCGTAGTTTCACAGGTGATATATTCAAGTGTGGATTGCATGATCGTAGTTTCACAGGTGATATATTCAAGTGTGGATTGCATGATCGTAGTTTCACAGGTGATATATTCAAGTGTGGATTGCATGATCGTAGTTTCACAGGTGATATATTCAAGTGTGGATTGCATGATCGTAGTTTCACAGGTGATATATTCAAGTGTGGATTGCATGATCGTAGTTTCACAGGTGATATATTCAAGTGTGGATTGCATGATCGTAGTTTCACAGGTGATATATTCAAGTGTGGATTGCATGATCGTTGTTTCACAGGTGATATATTCAAGTGTGGATTGCATGATCGTTGTTTCACAGGTGATATATTCAAGTGTGGATTGCATGATCGTAGTTTCACAGGTGATATATTCAAGTGTGGATTGCATGATCGTTGTACCACAGGTGATATATTCAAGTGTGGATTGCATGATCGCTGTTTTACAGGTGATATATTCAAGTGTGAATTGCATGATCGTAGTTCCACAGGTGATATATTCAAGTGTGGATTGCATGATCGTAGTTTCACAGGTGATATATTCAAGTGTGGATTGCATGATCGTAGTTTCACAGGTGATATATTCAAGTGTGGATTGCATGATCGTAGTTTCACAGGTGATATATTCAAGTGTGGATTGCATGATCGGTGTACCACAGGTGGTATATTGAAGTGTGGATTGCATAATCGTTGTACCACAGGTGATATATCCAAGTGTGGATTGCATGATCGTACATTCACAACTGATGTATTCGAGTGTGGATTGCATGCTCGTTGTTTCACAGGTGATATATTCAAGTGTGGATTGCTTGCTCGTAGTTTCACAAGTGATCTATTCATGTGTGGATTGCATGATCGTAGTTTCACAGGTGATATATTCAAGTGTGGATTGCATGATCGCTGTTTGACAGGTGATATATTCAAGTGTAGATTGCATGCTCGTAGTTTCACAGGTGACATATTCAAGTGCGGATTGCATAATCGTTGTACCACAGGTGATATATTCAAGTGCGGATTGCATAATCGTTGTACCACAGGTAAAATATTCAAGTGTGGATTGCATGACCGTTGTACCACAGGTGATATATTCAAGTGTGAATTGCAGGATCGTTGTACCACAGGTGATATATTCAAGTGTGGATTGCATGCTCGTAGTTTCACAGGTGATATATTCATATGTAGATTGCATGATCGTAGTTTCACAGGTGACATATTCAAGCGCGGACTGCATAATCGGTGTACCACAGGTGGTATATTGAAGTGTGGATTGCATGCTCGTTGTTTCACAGGTGATATATTCAAGTGTGGATTGCTTGCTCGTAGTTTCACAAGTGATCTATTCATGTGTGGATTGAATGAACGTAGTTTCGCAGGTGATATATTCAAGTGTGGATTGCATGATCGTTGTTTGACAGGTGATATATTCAAGTGTGGATTGAATGCTCGTAGTTTCACAGATGATATATTCATGTGTGGATTGCATGATCGTAGTTTCACAGGTGATATATTCAAGTGCGGATTGCATAATCGTTGTACCACAGGTGATATATTCAAGTGTGGATTGCATGATCGTTGTACCACAGGTGATATATTCAAGTGTGGATTGCATGATCGTAGTTTCACAGGTGATATATTCAAGTGTGGATTGCATGATCGTTGTTTGACAGGTGATATATTCAAGTGTGGATTGCATGCTCGTAGTTTCACAGGTGATATATTCATATGTAGATTGCATGATCGTAGTTTCACAGGTGACATATTCAAGCGCGGACTGCATAATCGGTGTACCACAGGTGGTATATTGAAGTGTGGATTGCATAATCGTTGTACCACAGGTGATATATCCAAGTGTGGATTGCATGATCGTACATTCACAACTGATGTATTCGAGTGTGGATTGCATGCTCGTTGTTTCACAGGTGATATATTCAAGTGTGGATTGCTTGCTCGTAGTTTCACAAGTGATCTATTCATGTGTGGATTGCATGAACGTAGTTTCGCAGGTGATATATTCAAGTGTGGATTGCATGATCGCTGTTTGACAGGTGATATATTCAAGTGTGGATTGAATGCTCGTAGTTTCACAGATGATGTATTCATGTGTGGATTGCATGAACGTAGTTTCACAGGTGATATATTCAAGTGCGGATTGCATAATCGTTGTACCACAGGTAAAATATTCAAGTGTGGATTGCATGACCGTTGTACCACAGGTGATATATCCAAGTGTGGATTGCATGATCGTAGTTTCACAGGTGATATATTCAAGTGTGGACTGCAAGCTCGTTGTTTGACAGGTGATATTTTCAAGTGTGGATTGCATGCTCGTAGTTTCACAGGTGATCTATTCATGTGTGGATTGCCTGATCGTAGTTTCAAAGATGATATATTCAAGTGTGAATTGCATGATCGTAGTTTCACAGGTGATATATTCATGTGTGGATTGCATGATCGCTGTATGACAGGTGATATCTTCAAGCCTGGATTGCATGATCGTTGTACCACAGGTGATATATTCAAGTGTGGATTGCATGCTCGTAGTTTCACAGGTGATATATTCAAGTGCGGAATTGCAGAATCGTTGTACTACTGGTGATGTATTCAAGTGTGGAATGCATAATCGTTGTACCACAGGTGATATATTCAAGTGTGGATTACATTGTCGTAGTTTCACAGGTGATATAATCAAGTGTGGATTACGAAGCATGGGAAAATATAAGTTTTGCCATAGCAATACAATACATATTTATTCCCATTATTGACAATTAATGATTTACACACACTCTGTTTGTTCACCCGTAAAGGTCAACTACCAGGACATAGATGTATGTTTGTTTTTTACCATGACAATCCGTAAAGATCACACATCAAACATGAACAATAGTCCAGGGTAAATATCAAACACATTTGTTTAGCTGTTAGTGTTATCTATTTTGTATCCAGTTACACGTTGATACTATTTCGCAACCTTCATTCCGTGTTGATTAACAGACACTGTTTAAATACTAAGATAACTAAGACATCTCAGAAATTTAAGTTAAGCCTTATACTTTAATCCTGTCACGTTTTCCAAACTCCCAGCTTCCAAACGATGGTTCTGTGTAACCATGATTTCATGTAACCATGTAACAATGATTTCATACTGACGAAATTCTATCTCAGGTTTTACTGGGTCTCTACAAAGATGGCGACATGATTGGCAACGTGACATTTGAGTGCAACGGATGCAGCGTTACTTCCTGGTTTCATTATAGTCACGTGATAGCATCTTCATGGAACGATTTGATGGCACCAGAAACATCCTACAACATCTTCAGCATTGAAGGGTAATAAACAATTTAAACAGTTTAAGATGCACATTTATATTGTACATCGGATATTAACTGCTCGGGAAAAATATAGCATACACTTTAAAACTGGATAAAAGCTAAAACGTAACAAGGCTGTAAACATACCAAAGTTAAGGACAAAAACACAACCATCGAATAACCATTACTTATTTATGTCATGTTCAGCCACCATCAAATATTGGTGGATACATACTGTCGTATGAACGGCACTTCTCTAAATATCCCTTCCAGCAATATTTCATCCTAATTTGAAATCCAAATTCCCTCCCTGTTATATCACATTACATGTAGAGATGACACCGGTTTTGCTTGTGAGATATTTCAGAACTATATCTGAACCTTACCATCTTGATTTTACAAGGTAAATTGGTTTCTTTCCTTTTCCCGATGACATACCAAATACCAAACAATTTCAGTTTGTATTCATATTAAACTACGACTTTTTGTTCCTCTTTAGCCATTGTTCAAGAGACGGCCTAAAATATATCATGGCTGTCAATCAGAGGAAACTTACAAAGCACGTGTATCTATGACAAAAAGTATGTCTGATTCTGAATAGTTGACTTTCCTTTGCATGTGTTTTCACGAAAACATGGTATTATCACTAACTGATAGTGTTTGATCGGCATCATAGAAGTTGGAGAGTCAACTAATTTATGATTAACAACTTCTTGTTTATTGTATGGAGTGATATATTGGTGTAGATTCTTACATCGTTATCTATATACCTTCAACTGATAGCAATTCATAGAAAATGATTAACATACAAACTGACCACCAACTAAAACCAATCCCAAAACAACGTAAATGATGTGAAAAGTGTTTTTATTGTGACTTACAAGCCTAAAATTGCGTTTGTGTTGCCAAAACCTAACAGATATAATTTATAATTTTGTGCGTGGGATATAATATCACGATTTTATTGAATCGCACGTGCATGTTATGCGCCGATATTATCAAATACAGTCGCTGAGATAGTTAGTGGTATACCTGGTAAATATAGAATGTCAGACTGAGTGCAAAAGCATATTACCCAGTCTTGGCTATCCGAGGAAACATATTCCGTTTGGTATAAAGGGAAAATAGATGCGAACGTTTGACACTAGAAGGCAGACCATCATCAGACGAATGACACATCTCAACCACACCGAACCACTTTGACATATTTACTAGTTTGGTCTCGATGTGATTACTGAAATGGTTTTGTTACCCTGGTTAAAATACTAATACGTGCATGGATCCTGCTTGTAGAGATGGCAGTCGACATTTCGTCATCAATGAACATTACTACGGCTGTGGTAACGATAAGGGCTGGTTGATGGTGCTGGACCAATACGGAGGTTATGGATGTCCATGGGAGAATGTCGCCACCAGTTTCCCTTACATCCTGACCACAGCTACAGGAACAAGCACAAGCTGGACCTACGGCAGTGAGTGGAAATGTACAGACTTGGCACGTGTTGGTTGTTTATCACAGCGATATACCAGCTGATGGTTGTACGTAAATAATCGAGTCTGGGTCAGACGTTCCGGTTATTGATGCCCTGAGCATTGATCCACACCGTTTGGTTCTGATGGCGTGTAATCAACGTTACATATCCAATAGATAAGTGAACTTATGGTTAACTACGCTTATGATGACCACGCTTATAATAGCCCCTTATAACCCCTTTGAAACAATGCCTTGGAAAAGAAAGTTTACTTTTTGAAAACTGGATCTGACCCAGAAATTCGAACATTATCGAACGATGTAAGTCTGAAGAGAGTAAAATAGAATAGGGTATATATAAGGTAGAAACACAGCTATGACACACGTATCATGCCCAATTCTTCTTTCTTCATTCAAACAAGGGTGTATACTTTGCCCGGCAGTTTATATCGTGAACGTCGCTGAACGAGAAGACCCGAAGCTGTTTGCATAGAAAAACTAACACTGGGGTTCTTTCTATATCCAACGATGGGTGACTAGAATTTTGTCCTTATGACTTCGTGCTTCAGTTCAGCTGATTCTTTGGGTTCTGGTGTAAAAGTATAAATTCAGTAAATTAAAGGTGGACTTAGCTTCGATGTATTGTGGTTACCGTGATTGCTCGCAACGCTCTGCAACCAGTTTTGATTCATCAGATGGTAGACTAAACAGACCAGGCATTTCTCCCACTGTGATGCTGTAGAATAAAATGAGCTGTCAAAAGCAACGTTTCAGTGGAAAGAGAGTGCAAAGCAGCTGGGTGTGACAGTTGTACAAGATGTTGCTACAGGTCGCACTGTGAGACCGCATCTTTAGGCATAACTTGACTTACGGACGTTTATGAACAATACGTAGGCATTATTAAAGCATTTGTAAGATGCGATGTTTATCTCTATCATTTTGTTTCAGATCCAGTCGCTGCCGACGTGATGGCGATCATGGTGAAGTTCTAGACGTCCACAACAACGACCACCTTGAGAAAACACTGCTGCCATGGCAACTATCACCAAACTGTCTACGGACCATTACGACTTTCTGTACTAACAGACATTGAAAACGCTGGATAATTTTTTCATCCATCGGACAATATACATGTATACTGGCCAAACAAAAAAGAAAAAAGAAAGAAACGCATAGCTAAAATCTGTTTTTCAAAGTAGAATCTTTTTAAAGATGAATCAATATGTCATTGCTAATTGTGAATATGGCGCTTACAATACTTTATTGCACACGAACACAACATTTGGCGAAAACTGGGAGAAATCGCATGGAGAAAAAGCATGTTGCACGTGCAAATACGGGTACTAAAGCTTCATACCGGTGGGTATAAAATCTGGCAGTCCCGTTGCGAATCACTCTAAGATGATCCGTATAAGCGATCTTCAAGATGCCAAGACTGAATGAAGACTGTAGAAAAAGAACCACTGGACGTCTGGAAGCTGGATAAAGTCCGTCATCAGTAGCCAGGCACTTCAACGTGAGGTACAGTACCATCTCCCGTCTGTGGCAGCGCTACATACTCCACAACTCTACAAAAGATCGACCGATATCTGGTAGACCAAGGATCACAACTCAGTCACAGGACCGCTACATCCGGGTGTTGCATCTTCGCAACCGGACAGTCAGTGAATCATACACAGCCAACAATGTCCCGGGGTTTCGTAGAGCATCAGCGCAAACCATCAGAAATCACCTGCGACAGCATGAGAGAAGACCAATGCGACCACATACAGCGCCTGTTCTGCGGCATCAGCATCGTCGTGCACGTCTGCAATGGAACAGAAACGTTCGACCATGGACCCTAGTGAACTGGAGGAGGTTCCTGTTTAGTGATGATGTATCGCCATGATGGTAGGATGCGAGTCTACAGGCGGAGAAATGAACACTACACTCGACACTGTATTCGCGATAGTCGAAAGATTCGGCGGTGAAAGTGTCAAGATGTGACCAGGCATATGCTCGAATGGTGGGACAGATCTGGTGCACGTGCAGGACAATTTAACTGCTGTACGCTACCTTGATGAAATCCTCCAACGTCACCTTATTCCCGCCATTGACGTCAGAAGAGAGATTTTCCAGCAGGACAACGCATACTGCATGTTTTACCATGAATTATCTTGGCAACAACAATGTTAATATGCTGCCATGGCCATCCAAATCGCCGGATCTCAACCCCATTGAACATTTGTGGGATCTGCTAGACAGACGTGTACGACGCCGACAGCCTCAACCACAGACGCTACAACAGCTGAGCCATACATTGCAGGATGAGTGGAGAAGGATTCCACAACGTCAGGTTCGACGACTCATTCAGTCCATGGCCAGGCGGTGCAGAGCAGTGATCGATGCTCGTGGTGGTCACACCACGTACTGACTTTGGCACAGTGCCGCCACAGACACATAAGTCTCCGAGAGCTTTAACATACTGTATGTATTTGAGGAAACGTGTGCCTAACCCTGTGTAAAATTTGGTTGTTGCACATTCATTATTTATTGTGTAATCCGATTTTATAAAACATGTAAAGGAAAACATATATTTTGGTTATGCGTTCTTTTTTGGGGGGCCAGTGTATGTTCTTCTGCTCTATTCTATCTTGTATCACACTACATGAGATTCAAACCCGTCCGATGGCATTATTGTGGTTGAATATCTCACTCCTAATACTCACACCAACTTTATTAGATGTTTGTGAAATGTTACGAAAAGTCCCATATGCGTTTTGAAAGTGCGTCTGTACAGCTATATGTTTTCGAAGTATTGCTTTTAATGGACAGTTCCATCATAAACCTCGCAAATCGTTCCCTCCTCCTTGAACTAGGGCAGCCATAGAAAAATAAAAACATAAACCAAACCTTCGCCTCTTTTCCTGTTTTGAACTCAACTTAACGTAGATGTGTGTTTAGATGCATCCCACTCGCAAATAGTTTTGTGTATCATTGCGATGTTGTAATGACCCTTTGACTTTCTAACCGTATTAAACTATTCCCTTTGTTCACGTGTTCCATCTGCTTATGTTGTACAGCTAAGACTCCAGCACACGTCTTAATGTTTTTTTTGTACGGCTGCTGCCATATTATGTTTAAATCCTTGTTGAACTGAATGTATAAACCGAAGAGCAAAGGAAACAACACCTCATAGCTGATTGCCGAGTTGGCGATACGTTTTTCAAAACGATATTTACATGGTAGTCTCGAAGGCAGAACATGTGTGTACCCATTAGTATATTATGAAGGGCCTAAATTTAAGTAGTGGTTCTACGAACACCTGGCGTCATCACCTATTTTCAGTGGTCAGTTGATATGATTTTCACAGTTATTTTGCCCATTACACCAAATGAAATATGTTTCTGAGGTTAGTCAAATCTGGGTTTTCTTTGGTACCAATGTTTAATATTTCACACTAATAAAATAACTATACCTGCATCAATTCATACTTGCAGTCGAATGTCGTAATTTTACCAAGATCTGTGAAACGGAATGGATCTTAAACATAATTCGCCAGCAAATCAGTATTTCAAGCCAATCAATTCTAGTTTAGAAGGAAATTTGACCTTCACGAAGGAAATGAAACGTCTTTTCAAAATGGTTGGGTCTGACGGCTTTTCATTCAGTTGGTAATGCTATTCTCGACAAGTTCAGATTGACAGACGCTTCAATGGATTTTCGAAAATACCAACAAATGAAACGTGTCTTTAAATCATCATGCAGACTTACGAAATCCTCTCATCAGTTACATATTAAAGAGAAGTTCCATAACATTCATGACAACCCTGAGGAATTGTGGAAAGCTATTAAATCAATTAAAGCTACTTCTTCGTCTACCAACAAAATCAGTGGCACCGAGTGGTTTACCTATTTCGAACACTTGCTAAACTCTGTAACAACGGATTCAACCATTATTGATGGCATAACAAACGACCTATCAGATCATGACTCACATTGTAATGATTGTAACCAACTATTTCCTTATCAACTCAACGACGAAATAACACTGCGTGAAGTCACAGATACTATACGGAATCTTAAATGCCGAAAAGCGCCAGGCTGTGATGGTCTTTCATCAGAGTTATTGAAACATTCTGTCAATTACATTTCAGCTAGTCTGACATACCTTTTTAATGAAATATTAGCAACTGGCAATTTCCCAATTACATGGTGCAAAGCTATTATCTGTCCACTACACAAGAATGGTTCCTTATCCGATCCAAATAATTACAGAGGAATCTCGCTCCTGCCGGTAATTGGAAAGATTTTCACTAAAATATTAAATCAGCGACTTCAACAATGGATCACAGAAAACAACATCATTCTTGAGAATCAGTCAGGTTTTAGGAAAGGGTATAGTACAGTTGACAACATGTTCTCTCTCTACGGTATGATCGCGAAATACTTGTCTAAATCAACTGGAGGGAGAATGTACGTCTTCTTTATTGACTTCTCTAAGGCTTTCGATAGCGTCAATCATACATTACTGTGGCATCGGCTTATCAAATATGGAATACATGGGAACATCTTGAAAGTTTTAAGAAATATGTACTCTAAGCTTCAGTCGTGTCCGTACAGATAAAGGGCTTACGGATTTTTTTCAGTGATGTATTGGTACACGCCAAGGTTGCATGGTCAGTCCACTGTTGTTCATTTTATACATCAACGAACTAGTCACTGAGATGTCAACGTCTAACTGTAAAGGAATATTTATATCAGAGGAATTCCCTAATGTATGTTCACTGCTCTACGCCGATGATGTTGCTAACGCCGCGGACTCCGCCGGAAAACTACAGGACCAAATCAATTGTGTCAGTAATTTTTGTAAAAAATGGGGATTGACGTTGAATATGCAGAAATCCAAAATCGTTGTATTCCGAAAAGGTGGATATTTACGTTCATATGAAAAATGGTACTACAGAGGATCCCAAATAGAAACTGTCTCGTATTATAAGTATCTCGGACTTCATTTTACACCCAAACTAGTGTGGACAAGATCGAGACAGGTGTTAGCACAGAAGGCGGAGAAGGTATGTCTACACATATACAGACTTCACTATATGTGTGGCGGATTACAGATCACCACTGCAATGAGGATTTTCGACAGTATGGTCCTTCCAATACTTACATACGGCGCCGAGCTCTGGGGATATGAGGTGGTAGAACAAATTGAGAGGGTACAGACAAAGTTCATTAAACGAATTCTACATCTGCCTTTGACAACCTGCAATGATGCAGTGCTCGGCGAAAGTGGACGACCTCTATTATATGTTTCTTATGTAAATAAATGTGTTAAATATTGCGCAAAAATAATCAACATGAATAACGTCAGATTACCGAAGCAAACCTATCTTATGCTATATGGATTAGACAACGTCAACAGATCTTCTTGGGCCACAAAAATCAAACATATTCTATTCCAGTTTGGATTCGGGTACGCTTGGGTTATGCAAGATATTGGACATATTGATATTTTCATGTCTGAGTTCAAACAAAGAGTGTCTGACTACAACATTCAACGATGGCAGGCTTCAGTAGCATCTAACTCCAAGTTGACAGCTTATTCATCTTACAAAACAGTTCTGCATGCGGAATCCTATCTCTCACAAATCAGTTCCCCGCCATTGAAGCGTTAACTAGATTCAGATGTGGCTGCCACCAGCTAATGATCGAAATGGGGAGACGTTTGGGCATAGACATCGAGAACCGTTTATGTAGATACTGCCTTCGATATAACATCCAGCTTGTCGAAAACGAGTACCATTTTATCCTTGTCTGCTGTGCCTTCACCGACTTAAGAAAGCAGTATATTGAGTACAAATACTACGGTAACCCCTCATTTGAAACATTTGTTCGACTTATGTCCTCAAATCATCAACTTACTTCTGTGAATTTGTCTAAATACATATATTTTGCTTTGAAATTGTATGAATCACTCCATTTGTAATCACAATATTGAAATGTTTTGTACTGTGGGCCTGTGGCCTAGAAAAACGTAAATAAAACTCTTAATATGTAATGCTATTGTCAAGTGGCAATAGATTAAACAGGGGAGATAACCTATCCCTTGATATCCTCACAATGGTGACTTTCATTAAAC